GACCTGGGATGTGTTCCGCCGTCACCGAGACATTGTTGTAGAGGCAGAACTGCCAGAAATCCTTCGCCAGAACTGCCAACATTTTGGACTTTGTACCCCCTAGGTGATTTATGTAACGAACTGCCAATACGTTGTCCATTTTGAGGAGAACGCAGCAATTCGCCCTCCCCGGGGCAAGACTGCGGATCGCGAAGGCACCTGTCAGGAGTTCCAAGCAGTTGATGTGCAACGACTTCTCTGTGTCGGACCACCTGCCTGCTGTGGAAACGTCGCCACAATGAGCGCCCCAGCCGTGTAAGCTGGCATCGGACTCTATCACCACATCCGGGACAGAACCGAAAATGGCTCTTCCGTTCCATGCCTCCATGTGTGCCAGCCACCACACCAACTCGTCTCTGGACTCCGCGTCCAAAATCATCCGAGATTCGTAGGAATGACCTGAGCGAAGGTCCGATCCCTTGAGCCGTTGGAGCGCCCGGTAGTGCAGCGGGCCTGGGAAGATCGCTAGAATAGAGGCCGCGAGAAGGCCAATAATCCTCGCCAGTTGTCTGACTGACAAGTCCGGGACACAAAGGGCCCTCCGAATTTCCTTCTGGATGGCTTTCACCTTGGAACCTGGAAGGAACAGAAACTGCCGGACGGAATCCAGCTGGAAGCCCAGAAACTCTATGGACTGGGCAGGGATCAGGACCGATTTGTCCCAATTGATCAGAAATCCCAACTTCTGCAGAAGGCCGGTCGTCCATTCCAGGTGTGTGAGGAGATCCCTTCGTGATTGGGATAAAATCAGAATGTCGTCCAGGTAAATAATGAGGCGAACCCCCCGGGTTCGGAGGAATGCTACTACGGGCTTCATGAGCTTGGTGAAGCACCAAGGAGCCAAGGAGAGACCGAAAGGCAGGCAGGTAAAGCGCCAACAACGCCCGTGCCAGGTGAAGTGGAGATAATCCCTGAACTCCAAAGCAATGGGGACCGTAAAGTAAGCGTCCTTCAGGTCCAACTTGGCCAACCAGTCTGACTGGCGTAGAAGGTCTCTGAGGCAGTGTATACCTTCCATCTGGAAGTGTTGGTAACGTAGAAAGGCGTTGAGGGGGAGAAGATTTATTACGGGGCGAACCCCACCCCCTTTCTTGGGCACCAGGAACAAATTGCTCGTAAAGCCTCGGGAGGCGAACGGCAATTCTTCTATAGCGCCCTTGGACAGCATCTCCACGACCTCCGTGGAAATCATCTCGTCCTGCTCCGGAGGGAGAGACAGTTCTCTGGGGGGATAAAACTGGACAGGCATGGAAACAAACTCCAGACGAAAACCCTTTACACATTGCAGAACCCAAGCATCTGAGGTGATATTTGCCCACTCTTGGCAAAACAAGGCCAGCCGCCCCGCCACCTGAACTTGAGCGTGAGGGGAAGAAAGGGTACTCACCATAAGGACGTCTGCCGGGGGTACCTCTGGTCCTGAAATCCTCGTGAGGGAAAAAAGGAACCTCTAGTTGCGCGGAATGCGCCTCGGAAACCACGGCCGGGTGGACGGTTCCTGCTACGCCCGGCCCCTCCGAAAACCTTGGGCGCAAACACGCGCTTCATGTTCGCCCGTGCTTTGTCAATTGCCGTGAAGGTCTTGACATAAGAACCCATGTCCTTAACAAAGGAGGTGCCAAACAGCAGACCCTCATCGGTCGGATCAGGCTCAGCCACGGTCATAGCGGCCAGTTTAGGGTCGATCTTTAATAGTATCGCCTTACGTCTCTCTGTAGACATAGCCCTATTGGCGTTCCCCAGTAAGTAGATGGCCCGTTGGACCCAACCAATGGCCACATCCACATCCAGAACTGAATCCCCGGTTCTAGCAGCATCAAGAAGCTCGTAGAGCTTAGAAAGGGGTCCCAGGGTATCCAGGATCTTGTCCTGGCAGCTTTTTAGGGAGTGGTCAAGGCCCTTCTTGGGCTTCCAGCCTGACTTATTCAGGAACTGGGCAATTTGTGGGTCAATGTCTGGGGTCTTACAAGCAGCGCCCGGGAGGGAAGGGCATGGGCATTCGGCGCGCAGTTTATTGCGGCCTTCCCTAGAAAGTGGCGTGCGGATGCGCTTAGCCACGTATTGGGCAATATGATCCGGGGGAACCCACTCAGCGGACCGGGGGTGACGTAGGTCGTCTGGATCAAATAGGGGGTTACCCTGCGGGTCAAGGATCGAGGTGTCAACCCCAGAGGGGCCAAGTATGGGGCCCCGGGCCTTGGCAGAGGACCCCGAGGGGTTCACGCCCGTAAGGGGCAAATCCTCGCCAGATTCATCATCGTCAAAGGAGTCGTACTCCATAACGTCGGACTCATCCTCCACACTCTGGTCGGTATCCGACCCACCAACAGGGGCTCTAGCCCGTTTCCACAATCTAGCCTTTTTAGCCCGGCCAGGGGCTCTTTTGCGCGTGGGGTGCGCGCTATCTGAGACCGCCTCTAGCGTGTCAGTCATGGCAGGTAGAACCTGCATCGAGGAGTGGGAGCCGACATGCTTAGATTTGGCCCTTGCCTTACGGGCTCCAGGCACAGTATGAGCAGGAGAAGGGGCTCGTTGTGGCGACGTTTCCACAGCAGGCAGGTGGTCCGACACAGGGATTGAGAAAAGGTATTAGAGACAGCTCCCATGGCTGAGGCAATAGCCTTTTGTATGGAGGAAGCCATAGTGGCCTCTAGCATGGTCTGAAACTCCTGGGAGGCCATGGCACCATCAGCACTGTCTAAATGGAAGTCCCCTGAGGGACCAACAGGCCCATCACCCCTATCCTGCATGCTAGTGAGAAGGTAGGACAGGCAAGACCAAACAGACTGAATAAAACTAAATGAAACTAAATAAAACTAAATAAATCTAGCTGGAGAGGGAGAGAGGAGGGTTGAGTAACCCACAAAGCAACTAATGTTGAAAAACAGACCGGCTAGTGTTCCCAGGGGAGCAGGGTAACGAGATGACCGACCGCACGGCAGCACGGGGAGGAACGAGGTCGCCCAAAATGGCTGCCGCACGTGAGGGAAGGCGCACGCGACCTGGCACTCGGCGGGGGAAGGGGCTCGTGCACCCGACCTGCCATGCCAGCCCGCGAGCGGGGAGAGAATGCGCGCACTGCCGCGGCCGTGAGAGGAGAGCGGCCGCGGCAGACAAACAGCGCCGGGTCCCGTGAGGAAGCACGAGGGGGGGAGGGCAGGGAAGAGACCACCCGGCCGGGAAAGTGAACACCCACGGGGTCCCAAGGGAACACCAACCGCAAGGCAGTAAAAGCAACAGTATACTGAGTAAACAAAGCAAATATAATGGCAAAACAACCAAATGCAAACTACAAATGTAAGATAGAGAAGAGCAAAAAAACACTTATCTGTCTGAGGAAGCAGCAAATAAAGAGGGGGATTGTGGGAGACACAGGACTTATATAGCTACTTCCTATATTCTGTGATTGGCTACCTGTTGTGCCTATACAGTTTTTTCTTCATTTTTTGATAATATTTATATTCCTCTTTCTTTGCTGCTGAGGAAATAAAGAAAGAGTTATGCATAATATGAGCCTCCGTGTCTTTAATAAAATCTCTGGATTCTTTAGGCATCTCTTGTTTCTTGGAAAGTATGGAATGAGGCATGCTGAGGCATATGGAATGTTCATTTCTTAGAATTGTAGCTATGCCTTGAAGGAAGTGGGTCTTGTCATTGACCTTTGTCCGTCACACGGTCGTGTCCACAACTTTCGTAAAGTCAGTACATATCAATCTCAGCTCTTGAACTTCGATATGTTCTGGAAACCAACAGTTTTTATACATTTGTAGGGAACGAAGGGCAATCCAATCAGTTGTCAAAGCAATGAGTACTAATATTTATATATTTTCTCGATACTTTTATCAAGCATGTTCTTTTACCCTATAATCAGCATAAACCAGTGCAGGATATGTTTTTTTGTGTGGTTTTCAGTTTTATGACAATATCTTAGGGTCCTCCTACAGAGTGAAGCTATGACTTGGCACATGAACCATACATAAGAGTGTTTAAAAAGACAACGTCGTCTACATCTGAAGTTAGACTGTCCTCCACGTGGTATTATTGATGAATGAGAAAGTCTGTGCCAGACTTGTGGGACAATCACATACCTCTAATCTGTCAGCCTATCAGTAGCTAGCTACAAGCATGCAGTAGAAGTAAAGTGTGTTCAGGCACACCTTACCGCAGAGCCAATCTGTCTTCATTATCCCTTGTTTAAATCTCTCTGGGTATTAGTATGGGTTAGCTCATTCTTACTATCACCTGGTCTATAGTGCAAAGAATTTTATATTAGTATTTTTTTAAAGCAAAGTTTTAGAGAATGAGCTCACCCTAAAGCAATGTTGCTTTAAATAACTTCCAAATCTTCCAACAAAAACACATTCCTTAAATTTTTCATTTTTCCCTATAGATATGAACATTCCACATCAACTCACATTATAAATATTAACAAGAACATGTATCAAAATCTCGTCTTATCAGAGAAAGATTAGTTCTAGAATGTGTTTAATTAAACAGAAAAAATACCTGGCCAGTATGACGCTGGGGATTGATGTGGGAAGATGATGCCATGTAGGTCCATGTGCTCTAGTGAACATTTTCCCTTATTCATTCTATTAGTATGAAAAAAAAAGTATTTTTTTTAAACTATATATATATAAGCTTGATGGAGTTTCTGATAGAAAAACTATATAATGCCTGGATCAGATAAACAAAACCTGGCATTTGCGCTATATACAGACACACACACACACACAGGGACGTATTTGCCATTAGACAAACAAGTCATTCGTCTAACTAAAAATCCAGGCGGGTGGGCGGCACTGGCGAGGGAGCACTGATTAGTGAGCTCTCTGCTCAGCTCCCTTGCGCGCTGCAGAGGGATGCCAGGAGACGGAATATGACACTCACTAATCAGTGCTCCCTCGCCAGTGCCACCCGCCCGCCTGGATTTTTAGTTAGCTGTCCAACCACCTGCCTCCCTTCCTGTCAGAAAGTACATCGGACCCCATGGAAAAAAAATCCACCCAGCACTCCCAGAGGTAGAAAACTAAAATAGAAAAAGTAATCGGTTAATGTTTGGGGGAGGAGGGGAGGTTCTGTCACTGCGTGTATATCAGTGTTTGTCTGGCTGTCAGTGTGTGTATGTCTGTCAGTGTGTGTCTGAGTGATTGTGTGTGTATGGCTGTCAGTGTCTCTGTCACTGTGTGGCTGTCTGTCAGTGAGTGAGAGTGTGTGTGTCTGTCAGTGAATGTGTGTTTGTTTCTCAGTGATTGTGTCTGTGAGTGCACCTGTAACCTTTCCTGGTAAGTTTTATACTGCAATCCATGAACCAGTTTAGTAGCGCTTCTCTGAACTCTCTCTAAAGTATCAATATCCTTCTGGAGATATGGTCTCCATAATGGGTAATCTCCTATGTCCCTTTGTTTTAGCCAAATAACTAACTCTGTTACAGCTTCCCTAAACCAACATTACCCTTGAAATAAATAACACTGACAACATTCTGGGAGGTAAAGACATCATTGCACGTATTTATTGAATACATCACCATGGCATCATGGCAGAAAAACCATTCAAACAGAACGGCCGTAAAATATAAATAGTAACCAAATTTAGCTAGGGTGGCGGTGCTGAGGGCTAAACTCCTCAGCCCACAAGAGGATGCGGCTCATCCTAATCCTGCAGCGGAGCACCCGTTGTAGCCACCCAAGCATAGACATAAGGACACCTTGAACGCTGACTGCAGGCGGGCGCCCCAGCCGGGCCATTGCCCAAGAGGGAGAAAAGCCCAGCCTCCTTGCCGCCGTAACTCCCACTCTCACTCTCTGCACCACGCCCTACAGCCTCACCATCTCGCCATAAGAGATACAATCTCTTGCTGCCAACCAACAGCCTTTATAGTAATTTTTTTTTTTGCAGCCCTGGTTAGACACAGGGCACCAGAGTCTCATGAAAGTCAGAAATTTGAAATCACTTATTCACTTCTATTATGGTGGGAGGTTGTTTGTGGTTAAATTATGTGAGGGGTTATTCCCACACTAACTGAACCTTTTTCTCTGGATATTGGCATTTAGTTTGTAAAGCATGCTAGCAGCCATTTAGCCTCATAGTCTTGCGAAAGAGGATACAGAGACAGTGTATCTTATGTGAAGCTTGAAAAAGGACACCAGCAGCCTTTTAGTCTTATAGCCTTGCTACAGAGGATACAGGGTCAATGTATCATACATGAAGTGATACAATGTATTTACTCTGGCTAAATAGATGGTGCGTGTTCCTAAGCACCACCCCAGCTAGATATTCGCTAGTTTGGCACCATATAGCATGTCTTAGAATATCGAACATCTAGGGAGAGTGGAATGTGGGAATGATCTATAGCCATAGTCACTCTCAGGTTTGCTTCACATGAACTCTGTCACTGACTCTATTTTGTATTCTATATATGTACTATAGAGATATATTTACCAGTAACTTACCATACGGGCTTAATAGGTCCGGCTGTCACAACGCCTCAAGACGCAAATTTGTATAGCCAATGGGCTGCATATAGCTCGTGTCCTAAGAACAAACTAACGGTAAAGCAAGCAGGAGCGATATCAGATGAGCAGGGTTTATGGGTTCCCGAGTGTCCAGCGGACAAGACTCTGACTTACTGCAACCCCTGAGAACCTGCCTAACCATGAAAAACCTAGAAGGAACTGGCTTACCTGCAAATCTCAAAAAGAAGGAAAGAGCAGCGAGTCTGGTCCCCACCATAGCTCTAGAACGAACACGGCCACGGGAATGCAATGTAGCCAGCCAACTCAAAAAACAACTGACTGATCACAGAAACACGAGCACCACAGCTTCACTGCCACCACTATTTGGTAAAGTTCCAGGAGAGTAAGGTTTCTCGTAAGGCCCCTAGCATGCCACGAAAGCAGCCAGGGGGCGGCACTCCAAGACACCTGAAAAAAGGCCCCATAACCACAAGAACCAAAAGCATCCATAATCAAATGGAGAGACTGGTTAGAGGAAGGACCCGACTGACAAAAACGAACTCCGTTGAAGTCCTGCAAAAAACACCCCCAGGCGCGAAGTTTGTCCAACATGTGCTTAGACAAGGAGATCTTAGCTAAACTTGCCGCAAAGGGCCATCCCCAGATGCCTATTGAATACCCGACTCATGGGAATAACCCTGCAGGAAAAGTTGAGAGGCCCAGAAGGGATTGCTGCCACAGCCATACGAACCAAAAGCAGCGTCCTATCAACCTTGTCCTGTGGTAGCCTGCACTGCATTAAAGAGGTGTCTATTTCAATTCCCAAAAAGGCAAGCACTTCTGTAGGCCCCACATACTTTTCCTCTGCCAAGCGAACACCAAATTCAGCCATGAGACTTCTTATGATGGACATCAAATAGGAGCAATGAAGTTAGCCGTCAGGACCCACAAATAGTGCACTACTGATGTGCTTCCGGCAACTGAGGCCACGGGCCAGTGCAAAAATGAACTGAAAGATTCAAAGAAAGCACATGGCACTGAACAGCCCATCGGTAAGCACTTATCTAAGTAATAAGCCCCATCAAACTTAAAACCCATCCACCAAAATGAAAAAAGGTGGAGAGTGAGAAGGGAAAAGCAGACTCAATGTCAAACTTCACCAACAAAACCCTCCTGGCCTGCTTTTCAGGCCAACGCCACAGCATCATCAAACAGCTGGTAGTGAACCGAACTAAGGGCTGAATCAATGGCATCATTAACTGATGCCCTGTCAGGGTATGACAAGTGTTGAATGAGCCTAAACATGACGGGCTCCCTTTTGGGCACTATAACCAATGGTGAAATAACCAAGTCTTCCAGGTGGGAGAGCAAAGGGGAGAGCTATCCTTCCCAGAGAGACCTCCTTAGCTAGTTTGTCCATGACCACTTGGGGGAAAGAATAGGCTGATTGAAGATTCCTTGGAGGAACCTTACCAGGGAAGTAACCCGAAACTGGGATCACAAAACACTCCTGAAGACCAGACAGAAGCCATTCAGCTTGCTGCCTGGGAGGGTCAAAAGTCAGTACCTGTCAATTGTGACCACCTTCAGTGGAGTTGGAGCCTTTGAGAGAGGAGAATGAGCGACCAGAGTAGGCCTGCGACTGAGAAGGTTGCTTGCACTCCGCTCCAGTATGGCCACCCCCACAGAATCCGCAGACCTGACGAAAGGAGCAAACAGCTCCCTTCTTACGTTGCTTATCCCGGAATTTCCAGCATTCACGCTCCTTCTGTCTGCGACGGTGAAAACCGCAGGAATACTGTGAAAAAATGCTTCCCTTAGTAGGCAAGACCCTCTCTGGCCCCAAGTGCGACAACAGATGCATATCTCGCACAGCTAAGGACAGAGAGATATTACTTGCCATGCTCCTCCTAAACTTTGAATCATACTCCTTCCATGCCCCTTCCCTAAAATGATGATAAATATAATCCATCGTCTTGATGTACTTGATAACAGGAATGGCCTGCACTGGATGCTTTCCCAAGAGACAGGAAGCCAGCACCCGAAAGCAGCGTTGCCACTCATCAAACGATTCTAGGCATTTGGGACATTTCATACCCGACTCCCCGTCAGCTCTCTCCTTAATCATATAAGCCTCAGAAAAGAGCTCAAAAATGCGGACATATTTAAATTCCCAGCTTTTTGCCTTTACCTTGGACTTGAGATGTCCATGGAGGGAGTAAACAGAACAGGGGTACAAGTCCTGTTGAATGGCTTCCCTGCACAGCAACAAATCTTGACCAAGGCAAGAGGAGGGGGATGTCAGCGATGCAAAGGCAGAACAGATCCGCCCACAGCGCCCAGGTGACTCCCCCTTCCTTCTGTCTTAGGTGTGATGGATACATCCTCTAGTAATAACCGAAATAGATTTCTCCTCGACATCACTGCCCTTTGCAACAAGAAAAGCTTTTCATGCAAAGCCCTGATGGACTCAGGTGTGGCGGGAAAGTTTATTGACGTGCATTTTGTAATGAAACACTCCATACCGATCAAGGACAGATCATCACCTCAGGTCATTGAGGCTTTTGACGGGAGACCTCTCTCTCAACCTCTGATTACCCAAGAAACCATGCCTATTAACATTTATATAGGAGCATTACACAAGGAAGACATAGCATTCCAGATAATTGCTTCTCCTTCTTGTTCATTCATATTAGGATTTCTTTGGCTCATTAAGCACAATCCTCATATAGATTGGACTAAGGGTGAAATACTAGAATGGATTTAAGACTGTTTAGAGAGATATATGTTACCAATTACCAAGAGAGTGGGCATCGTTACTTTGCCCACCAATATACCTCAGACCTCTGAAATTCCTGTACAGTACTGGGAGGTTAAAGAGGTGTTCAGTAAGAGCCAGACTAATATTCTACCTCCTCACAGATCATATGATTACTCAATAAATCTGCTACCCGGCGCTATGCCTCCTAAGGCGGCAGCATATGCCTTATCCCCACAGGAGAGTAGAATCATGGAAGAGTACATCCTCGCCTGCTGGAGCTGGGTTATTTTTTGTCTCCAAAAAAGATGGAGAATTATGGCCATGCATTGATTACAGGGCTTTAAACAAGATCACCATAACAAATGCCTATCCCATTCCCCTTAACTCCAAATTGTTTGACAGACTCCAGGGTGCTGCTAAGATATTTACTAAACTTGACCTTAGAAGTGCGTACAATTTGGTAAGGATTAAGGAAGATCATGAGTGGAAAACGGCATTTAACACTAGAAGTGGGCACTACGAATACCTTATCCAGACTTATCACAACCAGGTCAAACAAGTGCTGCAAACTTTGCTTAAAATTTTTCTTTATTGCAAGCTTGAAAAATGCATCTTTGACCAGTCGGAGGTACAGTTTTCGGGGTATAATATCTCTGCTTCTGGTTTCCAAATGGATCCTCGTAAACTATAGGCTGTTCTACATTGGCCATTACCTAGCTTCTGCAGCATATCTGTGGATGCTGGCCACTGCAGATACATGCCATATTATAGCCCCACGTCCCCCATGGTAATGGCGGTGTCGACGTGCGTGTGAAAGCTTGTAATAGACGCTCGCGCATGTTTTGGGGTCAAAGGCCGGTTACGGCCAATCGGACCTGCAAGAGGGTTATTTAAACTCATTTCTACTTTCACTTATTGCCCTGTCATGGTTTCCCTTAGTTGGTTATCTGAGAGTGTGTTACTGATTATTCATTTCTGGTTATTGACTTGAGCTTCGTTTTGACTTCCCTGTATTCTGGTATCCTTAAAGGGACACTCCAGGCACCCAGACTACTTCTGCCCATTGGAGTGGTCTGGGTGCCAACACCCACTACTCTTAACCCTGCAACTGTAATTATTGCAGTTTTTTATAAACTGCAATAATTACATTGCAGGGTTAACTCCACCTCTAGTGGCTGTCTAGTAGACAGCCACTAGAGGGCACTTCCTTGTCCACAGCACAGAAAATCTGTGCTAGAGCATTGCTGGATGTCCTCACGCTGTGTGAGGACCTCCAGCGTTGCTCATTTCCCCATAGGAAAGCATTGAAATGCATTTTCAATGCTTTCCTATGGGGAGCGCTAATTTGCAGCGCATGCGCATTAGGTCTCCCCGGCCGGTGGGCGGGATCAGTCTCGCCCACCCGCTGACGCAATCAGAAGGAGGAGCGGCACGGAGGAAGAAGCAGCGACGTGGGACATAGTCGCTGCCTCTGGTAAATTACTGAAGGGGTTTTCACCCCTTCAGCAACCGGGGATGGGAGGTGGGAGGGAGAGGGACCTGCAGTGCCAGGAAAACGGATTGTTTTCCTGGCACTGGAGTTTCCCTTTAACTTTTGACTTTCCCTCATCATTATGTCTCCTTCTGTGTCCCTGACCTCGGCAAGTATTCTGACTATTCTTTGACTATTCTTTGGTACGTAAGTCCGGCAATTCTAAGGCGCGGTAAGACATTACCTTTAGTCCTAGGTGTGATATAATTCTATGTGCTGGATCAACTAGTATCCTGACAAGCGCATCTACCCCAAGGGGAGCGTGCATGGCAGTGATGTTATAACCTGGTGCGTGGGGGCAGCCGAAGACAGTGCACATCATTGGATCAACAAGCAGTCTGGTGCGTAAGGGAGAATGGAGCAAACAAAAGCAAAATAGCAGAAGACGTACACCCTCTATGTCAGGGGTTCTCAACCCAGTTCTCAGGACCCCCTACCAGTCCAGGATTTGGGGATTACCTGGGTGTGTCTAAGGTGTTTAGAAAAAGGGAAGAAAAAAAAACCTTAGACTCTAAGGTGTTTTTTTTTCTTTTTCTAAACACCTTAGACACACCCAGGTAATCCCTAAACCCTGGACTGGTAGGGGGTCCTTGAGGGCAAGGTTGAGAACCCCTGCTCTACGTACACCCTCTAGACACTGCTTGAGAAACTGGCAATGATAGCCCTGGCATGCCTAGGCCCAGATTCAAAGGCAAAGGAGAGTTAATGGACCCCACAGCACTGTTACCCTGAGAAGTAGGCAGCAAAACCTGGAGAGGCCTGGGTAATCCTGGACCCAGTAAAGCTGAGTTTAGGCTTAGCTCACGGCAGCCGCCAGCCTATCCCCCTCTCCCCGCCACCCAGGAAACTTACCTTACCTTTACCTTACCTTACCTGGAAGAGTGTGGGGGATCTCCTTGCAGCCAGCCGGTGAAAATTAATGGCGGGGTCTGCCATAGCCACACAGGTAAGGGGCAAGTAGTGAGCAGGGGCACTGGATGCCTCAGGTGAAAGTATAGGGAGAGGGGAGCAGGGATGTCCTTGACTGCCTGAGTAAATGCAGCCAATGCAGAGAGAGCATTGGAGGGTAGGGAGGAAAACTGAGCAGCCATGTGCTGCAAGGACTCAGCTGAAGGGGGAGGGAGGTAGAAGATACAGGAGGGGATAGGGAATGGAGGACAGGAGGGGGTAAAGGAAGCTGAACAGCAGCAGAAGGAAGGTAAGAGACAGAAAGGGAAGAAACCTTAGAAACAGGAGTGGAAATTATATCAGGTGGAGGAGTTGGAGAAATCTCCTCAATACTCATCTCTTGTTCTTCCATTACAGGACGTCAAGAAGAAAGAGGGATGGAGTCTCTGAACCTCTTTGGGGGACCCACACAGGGACAAGACCTTTCCATGTTGAAGAGGAATTCACCAGTACTTCAGGAGACAGCAAGAACCAAAAGGAGTGACATGAAACAGAGGAGTCTCTTAAAAGTTAAGGGGAGGCCCCTCCCATCATACTGCAACATTTTCCTGATTAAACTTCAATCCCGGTAGAAGATCCCATTAATTACGTTTAAGGCCCACTAGGGGGGCCTACACTCCCAGTACTTCGTACAATACTCCAAGTGAGGTCTCACCAGTGTTCTGTACAATGGCATGAGCACTTCCCTCTTTCTACTGCTAATACCTCTCCCTATACAACCAAGCATTCTGCTAGCATTTCCTGCTGCTCTACTACATTGTCTGCCTACCTTTAAGTCATCAGAAATAATCACCCCTAAATCCCTTTCCTCATATGTTGAGGTTAGGACTCTATCAAATATTCTGTACTCTACCCTTGGGTTTTCACGTCCAAGATGCATTATCTTGCACTTATCCACATTATTGTGTTTTATATTTTAGAAATAAGCTGTAACCCCATTTTTTTTATATATATATTCTGACTTAAGGGAGGCTTGGATGGAGAAGTTTCAGATGGTAGCTGCCCCAGATTCACAGCCAATATTATACAAGTACTAACGTGTAATTCATTTTTTGCTTTTATTAAAGAATATTATTCATATCACTAATGATCATATAATCAACTGCAGCCGTCACCATTCTTGTTAATTCATATTAAATCAAACACTGTTTCCAGGAGATGAAGAAATTGTCTGTTGGTTTGCAATAAATGGTTCGACCTCAATATTGAACACACGAGTCTCAGTCAATATGTAACCACTTAGCATCGAGCAAAGTACCTCAATGAACTTCCTGTCTGACATTATTACTCATTACGCTTCCTCGGAAATTAACCAAGCTGGGGTTATTGCATTATCCACCTAGGTGGCCATGCATTAAATTATTACAAAGACAGATATCTGGTTTATTTATAAAACATCAGGTTTAGACAAGCTAACAATTGCCTTTCTTAATTTAGGCCAAGATAAGACAAGTTGGAAAATAAAATCTCCAACTACTTTTTCCCCCCTGTTTCTGCTGTCTTGCTGTTTTACGCATGTCAGCCACCTGGTCCCTTCTAATCCTCTCTCCAAACACTACAAACAGATACCAGCTGCATCTGGAGATTGTTTACTGTTGGTTAATGAGAGGGAGACAGACATAGGGGGTTGAGGCAGATAGGTATGATATCGTTAGATATGAGTTGTTTGTGGGAGAGAACTAGAGTGTACGTGCGTGTGTGTGTGTGTGTGTGTGTGTAGATGATTGAGTGTGTGGCTAATTTTTTCATATAACAGGCTATAAGGAGTGCTGGGAGAGAGTGTGGCGTGTAGACGTGTGCCGTTGTAAATGTGTGAGTTAGAACGATCATGGAGATCAGTGTGTTGCTGAAGGTGTTAAATATAATAAAAGGACCAAAAAAACGTATATTTCCAACTGGTCCCCCTTTCTGTAGGTAGAGCGTACTAGAGGAAGGGGGGGGCGCTTTATTTTTCTAATGTCGCAGTGGCTGTCCTTTGCACTACAAATGTCTGAGAACTACAGGCTAAAGGCTAGCTGAGCATCATGGGAAACTGAGATCAGAGATCAAGGTTTCTCAATCACTACCTAAATGAGCCATCACACATAGTCATGTACGAATGTAAAACCACATCCATATAATAATATATTAATGTAACAGGCTAAAGGCTAGCTGAGCATCATGGGAAACTGAGATCAGAGATCAAGGTTTCTCAATCACTACCTAAATGAGCCATCACACATAGTCATGTACGAATGTAAAACCACATCCATATAATAATATATTAATGTAACATACACACGTAACACACACACACACGTTCTTTCGTTAAAAAAAATGTGTGCAATCTGAATTAATATATATATTTAAATACTGATATCTTTAAATTATGTAAAATAATTTAGTCTCTCTACCTGTGGGCTAACATGTTTATGTGTGCTTAGCCATTAATTGGGTAGGTTTCCACAGATATTGGCACTCTGGCCCCAGGAGCTTAGTATATGATTAACTAGGCAGGTAGAACAAATAATTAATGAGACTAATGGTACCTTAGAAACATAAATAGGGATTTGCAAGCCCTGTGTTTAGTTGTCTTAGAGAAGCTTGTTATTTCACACCACCCGTTAGCTGAGACAGTAGGGTCAGTGTCGGTGGGTCGGAATGTCGTGTGTGCAGGGATGGACTGACAGCCTCCTGGGCCCCCGGACAAAATTAGATCCAGGGCCCTTCAAGACAAAATATTAAAGGAGCACTATAGTGCCCCCCTCCCGCTTCAACCACTTACCTTTCTCCTGCGCCGGGCTCCCTCGGCTCTGGGGAATTCTCGCATTCTCGAATTCAGCGCACGCATTCACAGTATGAATCGCGGAAGCACCTCTAGCAGCTGTCAGTGAGACAGCAACAGAAGCTGGATTAACCCTTAGTGAAACATAGCAGTTTCTCTGAAACTGCTTTGTTTTCAGCTGCAGGGTTAAAACTAGAGGGACCTGGCACCCAGACCACTTCATTGAGCTGAAGTGGTCTGGGTGCCTATAGTGGTCCTTTAAGGACTGAGTAAATGTTAAAAATAATTTTAAAGTAAGTAGTCAAACAGTTTGAGAACAGTTTGACAAGTTACCTGGGGTCTGCTATGATATGAGGCTGTAGTAGGGCATAGGAGCAGTGGTGTGTGTGAGTGGTGCAGTGTGTGTGAAAGGTTCAGTGTGTGTGTGGGGGGGGTGTAGTGAGTGAATGTGTAGGGTGTGTGGGGCAATGTGTGTGTGTATGTGGGGCTGTGTATGTGTGTGTGTGTTGGCAGTGTATGTATATGGGGGGCAGTGTGTGAATGTGTATGGTGTCAGGGCAGTGTATGTGTGTCGGGGCAATGTGTGTATGGGGAGGGCAGTGTGTGGGGGCAATGTATGTATGTGCATGGTGTGTGTGGGGGCAGTGTAAGTGTGGGGGCAGTGTGTGTGTATGTGTACGGTGTGTGTGGGGGCAGTGTGTGTATGGGGGGCAGTGTATGTATGTGTGGGGCAATGTGTGTGTGTGTATATATGTGTGGGCAGTGTATGCAGTGTGTGTGTATATATGTGTGGGCAGTATGTGAATATATGGGTGGGCAGTGTGTGTGTATATATGGGTGGGCAGTGTGTGAATATATGGGTGGGCAGTGTGTGTGTATATATATGGGTGGGCAGTGTATGCAGTGTGTGTGTGTGTGTGTGTGTATGTGTATATATATATATATGTGGGCAGTGTATGCAGTGTATGTGTATATATGGGTGGGCAGTGTGTGTGTGTGTGTGTGTGTGCATATGTGTATATATATATGGGTGGGCAGTGTGTGTATATGGGTGGGCAGTGTGTGTATATAGGTGGGCAGTGTGTGTATATGGGTGGGCAGTGTGTGTATATGGGTGGGCAGTGTGTGTATATGGGTGGGCAGTGTGTGTATATGGGTGGGCAGTGTGTGTATATGGGTGGGCAGTGTGTGTATATGGGTGGGCAGTGTGTGTATATGGGTGGGCAGTGTGTGTATATGGGTGGGCAGTGTATGTATATAGGTGGGCAGTGTATGTATATGGGTGGGCAGTGTGTGTATATGGGTGGGCAGTGTATGTATATGGGTGGGCAGTGTGTGTATATGGGTGGGCAGTGTGTGTATATGGGTGGGCAGTGTGTGTATATGGGTGGGCAGTGTGTGTATATGGGTGGGCAGTGTGTGTATATGGGTGGGCAGTGTGTGTATATGGGTGGGCAGTGTATGTATATAGGTGGGCAGTGTGTGTATATGGGTGGGCAGTGTGTGTATATAGGTGGGCAGTGTGTGTATATGGGTGGGCAGTGTATGTGTGTGGGGGCAGTGTGTGTATATGGGTGGGCAGTGTATGTGTGTGGGGGCAGTGTATGTATATGTGTGTGGGGGCAGTGTGTGTATGGGCCTGCTTACCTGTACAATGTGATGTTTTTCTTCCTCCAGCAGCAGTGGGGCAGACAGGCTCCTTCTCACCCTCCATCCACGCTGTATGTGTGCTCCGTGTGAGAGGGAAGCAGGTGGTGATGTCACTTCCTGCCCCGCCTCCCATCCTCACACGGAGCACTGAGCAGGGAGCAGGGGGAGAGAGAGAGAGAGGAGACCTGGCAGTGAGAGGTGTGCTGCCAGGTCTCACACTGAATGGGGAGGGGTATTTGCAGACTGTTGGGTTGCAGGGGCCCTTAGAGTCATTATGGGCCCCTGCAACCTTCTTACAGCGCTTTCTTACTTACTCTCACTGAGGAGATCTCTGATCTGACCTCCACAGCAGAAGCATGACTGTGCTGCCGGGCCCCCTGACTGACTCGGGCCCTCGGTCCATGACCGATCTGCCCGACCTGTCAGTCCGCCCCTGCGTGTGTGGGTACCTACTGCCACTATTTCTGACTGTGTGCCTGAGGTTTGAGAAGTTATTGGAGCTATGTTTCTATATAGAGTTATATGTGTATGCTCTTCTCTTTTTGTCTTCTTATTCCTCAGAGCTGGCACTGTCCGGCGTGTCTTACCAACGTGTCACTGTGTAGACCTGTAGCCATTTATAGTCACTGGGTTTTGTGGTTGGATGAATACAAGGACTATGTTTCTGTGACATTGGCTATTAAGGCAGATGGCTATATATGTGTGTGGCGAAAGTAACCTTGCCACTTGCTCATGCTCAAAGGCACAAAAAGGGAGGAAAATTAAAAACAAAAATTTTGTTAAAACTTAATGTGAGCTATAAACTGTGGCGACAGGTTTACTGGGCTATTTCAGCCAATCTGAAAAATACTGATAGCTATTCTTGCAGTTTAGCTACTATGATCTTACATTTTAAATTGACTTTGAATGATCAATTTAGTAAATAACCCAATCAGTTTTAGGATTAATCTTGTTTTTAGACTTTTTCAGTTTTTATTGGTATATTTGCAGGTGAAGAGCAGAACTTGCTGGATAGGGGGAGATTAAATCACAGGAAGGGTGACCTCTCACATGTTTTCTGCACATGTGATTATCGCAGAACAAAACGTCCTTGGAGCCTTTTTGTCTGTAATATTAATAATCAGATTTTTTATTTTTGAGCAAACAAGATATATTTTGTAAAGACTAGTTTAGCAATGTCATACACAACACAACTCAAATTACAACTAAAGTCACCAGGACCACGTCATCTCAATGTCTGGGTGCAGAGCTCCTGTCATTTTAACCCTTAAAGGATCACTCTAGGACCCATAACAACTTCATTATGGCTCTTTCTATCCATAGGGATCGGTTTAACCCCAAAGATGGTTCTCCAGCGCCTTTTCTCACTGTCCCCATCAATCTCTGTCATACAGCTAGAGGAAGCATGGACTGCAGCTGGGCAGGGGCACCGCGAATAGAGTCGTCAGCTGACGCTCTAAGCAAGTAACTCCCATTTATAGAAAGGGAATGGGCAGGGAGTGCGGCTAAAGGTACAGGGTTATCCTGTAGAATGCTGCCAAACCCATTTCTAGATTTTTAAAGCGATTTGAACAAAAAAATAGAGCATTTCGATAAACCTATTACATGCACTTAACTTGTGTTGGAGTCTAAAGTGGTTCTTTAACTTCAACTTTAGGATTGGTGACACTGACTCATCTATTTCAAGTAGAAAAAGTTATATATATATATAGGGGTGCATGAAGCCCTTTTTTATTTACAGGTGTCAGATTTATTTCACCCAAATGTAAGGAGGTGGTTTAGTAG